AATATAGAATCAAAGAATCTCAGAATAGGAAGGGACCAAAAATACTTTTTAGTCCTGTCTATCCCTGAACAAGAATCTTCTCTACCACATATCTATCAGATTGTCATCTAGACAATACATGATGACCTCTGGTAAATGAAACTGAGTATATCACCCCCCAAAAAATTCCACTTTTGGCTAGCTCTACTTTTTCAAAAAATTTTTTCTTGATGCCAACCCTAAACAGCTTCCTTTTTGGGAAGCTTTTGAGTCTGGGGCCAAACAGAGTAAATGTGTTCCCTCTGTCAGTTGATAGCCTTTCAAATACTTGAGGACATTGATCATGTTATCACTAAATCTTCTTTATTTATTGTCATATTTGTTTATTTCTTGTTGTATTTGCTGCTGTGGGTTATCCAGAGTGTTACTTATGCCTTCCAGGTTTTGTCCCTTTCAAAAGTGCCAGATAAGTCTATTAACTCTATCAGAAAAGGAGAAAAAAAAGGTGAACCTGATATGCCCTGTTGTTAATGAAGCCATTCTGCCTCTTGGTTATCACCTCTTCCTTTGAGAGATGTTTACTAACCTTAAAAAATATATTATAGAATTTTGTCAAAAATCAGTGAAGCTCATTTGGCCTAAGACCTACAAAATCCATTCTCTTCCCTTTTCTTATTTTTGGAAAATCAGAACATCTGCTCTTTTCCAATCTAGTTCATTAGCTTGCAAAGATCATTTACAATATCCCAATGAACTGGCAGGGGTGATTATTAAATAACTGAGGATTTAATTCATTTGGGAAGGGTGACAAACTTATCCAGGACAACTGGGTATTATCTTATCTCCTTGCTTATCTCCCTATTAGCCATTTTTCATTCTGTCCTTTCCAGTCCAAAGATCATTATCCTGGGCATATAAAAGCAAAACAAAATAATAGTTATAAGACCCTGCTTTCCCTCTGGGAAATCTGCTGTCACAATCCTATCCACTTCAACTAGTGGTCTTGTCCCAACTTTGATGCTCTTCTTTTTCCCCATAAAGTTAAACATAATCATTTAAATATCTTTTTAAATAATTCTTAGCTTTTCAAGCTAGTCTTAGTTCCTTCTTAGCTTTAGCAGTCATGATACTCAGATTGCAGGACCTTATTTTTTTTTTTTGGTATTCATTTTCCATTGCCAGTTTTTGCTTTCTTCTTCTGATCACATTTTTTTTCAATCTCACCCCTTCTTCTTCAACTACCTACTCAACTACCTCCTCTTCAACAAGCTTCAGATCCATAACAAGGAAACAAGAATTGCACTATGCATCAGGTGTTGGGCACATAAAGACAAAAATGAAAAGATTTTGCCCTCAAGGCACAACATTCTAAGGGATAGGAAATTAACAGAAAATATATATGAAGTAGATACTAGTGAATAATAATTGAGGGGGTTTTTTGGGAGGGAGGGTGAACTAATAATTAGAAGCATTAGCTTTGTTGCTATAATCTAAAAACCACGTGACTTGCAGTTGAAATCTTTCCTATGCACTGTTTCCCCACTCCAATGTAAGCTACTTGAGTAGGATCTGTATTACTATTCTATTTTTAACCCAAGGGTCTACATTATTATTCTATTTGTAACCGAAGACCTAGTATAGTGCTTGGTACATAGTAAGCACTTAATAAATATTTTATTTATTTATTCATTCATCCATTCAAATGTGTTATGTTACAGTTGGCATTTAAGCTGCATTTTCGATAAAACTTTGGATTCAAAGATATGGAGATTAGCATAGAGAGTATTCCAGGTACTGGGGACAGCCCACCCAAGGGCATAGAGCAGAGACAGAACATCATGGATAGAGAACAGGAAGTAGTTTAGTTATAGCATAGAGTGCATTGCAGGAGTCATGTGAAATCAGTCTGGAAAGATAGGGGAAAGATTGTGAAGTGCTTCACATGACAAAACCACAAGAATTGGTAACTGATTAGATACAAATGGTGAAGGAGAGGGAAGAGTTAAGAATCATTCTGGACATATGAAACTAGTAATTGGACAAACTATAGAGGTTTGAACAGTTTAAGCAGGAAAATAATGAGTTCCATTTTGGACACATTTAGATTTGAAGGATAAAATTATCACTAGCAAGAAATAACTGGTTATTCTTCTTGTAGAAAGACCCCCAAATAAATGATTCTTCTTCTTCTTCTTCTTCTTCTTCTTCTTCTTCTTCTTCTTCTTCTTCTTCTTCTTCTTCTGTTTTTCTTCTTCTTCTGTTTATTCTTCTTCTTCTCCTCATCTTCTTCCTCCTTCTTCTTCTTCCTTCTTCTTCTTCATCATCATCATCAATGATTTAATAGCTAAATGGTACATAGTTGACTCAGTGGATAAAATGCTAGGCCTAGAGTCAAGAAGACCTAAGTTCAAATTCAGCTTCAGACACTCACAAATTTTGTGACCCTGGGGAAGTCAGTTAACGTCTGCCTTAATCCACTGGAGAAAGAAATGGTTGACCACTGTAGTATCTTTATTATTTGAGTCATGAAGAGTTGGACACAGCTGAATGACCAAACAACAAACTAAGTTAGCAAATGGAGGTTAAGTGATTTACCTAAAGTCACACAACTATTGTCAGACACAGGGTTTGTAGCCAAGTGTTTCTAATCACAAGTCCAATACTCTAGACAAAATTACATGCTTCTTCTTCAATAATGATAATAATATAACCATAATAATAAGAATCACCTCCTTAAAGTTTAGCTCATCATCCATATCATGGGCGTGTGTATTTAAAACCATATATTTGCCAGAAAAAAAGTGCTGCATTATGGTAATTTAATGTGTTCTCCCTCAGAAGGTTAAAAAAGAACCCTAAAACACTGATAAATTAGACACTGGTAATGCTATTGATTAGATAAGCACCTCAGGCACCATGATGCAACTGTTTCTAAAAGTCAAAGAAATAGACGGATAGCATATGATTTCCAAGAACATCATGGTAATCAACTTCACAGATAAGATAGTGGAACTAGAAGAAGGAAGGAAAGAAGCAAGGATGGATGGATGGAAGGAAGAAAACATTTATTAAGTGCTTACCAGGTACCATGCCTTATACTAAGCATAGCAATATAAATGTAAATAAAAAGAAAGCCCACAAACAAGCTTATATTCTAATGGAGTAAAGAAAATACACATAAGGGAGCTAAAAAGTGAGGGGGTGGGGAGGATGAAGATATCCATTGCAGGAGCATGTTTTTAAAGTTGGGAAGCCAGGAACAGGGCTGGGAGGGCCCTATACATTTCAACACTCCTGTTAGAAATGGCATAAACCACTAAGGAAAGCAAAACACAAGTGCCCAATGAAATGGACTGAAGATACCTTCTTATGTGCCAGTAGTACATAATAACAAAGTTGCAAACAGATTTCATCATTCATAAGCAATGGCTTCATATTGTATTTAGCGTTCTTATCCCAGTCACACAACAAAGTATTACCAATTAGTGAAAGCCAATTGTAAGCAGTATCTGCATCTCTAAACCTAGATAAGAAGAAACAAAAGGAAAAAAAAAGAGACGAAAGTTGAAGAACCTAAAACCATTGACACATTTCACTTAGCACCAATTTCAAAAATCATATCTAATAATAAAACAGATGACAAAAACAGAACCAACATTTTTAAAAAATGAAAAGGGGATGTGCATACTTAAGACTGGAATTCTGAAAAGTTCTTTTCCTTAGGTTTTGGCATAAATCCAACCATTAGACCAATTATACCGAAAGATGTTTTTAATCTGATATCTGCTGCAAACATTTTTTATTAATCCATTATTCTCCAGTTTTTGGCAGAAAATGTAAAAATAAAGAAATAGATAAAATCTGAGGACAAACACACAGCACTGTATGCATAAATTATTGCCATGTTAAGAACCAAAGGAGGAAAGATAATACTCTAAAAGAATACCCTGAAGAACAGATGTCAAAGACCACCCATGGCAGATGTTACATTAATTTAAGACTTTAGTACAGAGACTGAAGAAGGAAAGAAATCAGAAGTGAGAGAGAGTCTTTAGAGAAAAATAATGTGGGAAATGTCTGGTTTTCATGGTTGCAGGAAGTCCTACACAATTACAGTATAAATTGTATCACATTATAACAAGTATTCTTTTTTCCCACATTACAAATGGTCTCCATGGTGTCTGCTTTGATGCATATATACTCCTTTTTCTCCATTCTCCTTCCTTTTAAGTTGAGACCCATTTTGATCAGATCCGTAGGACTCTAGGAAAATAAAAACCCTAATTAGCTTGTTAGGTGCTTCTTTTGCAGGAGTCTATCACTCCTATATTTTTAAGTTGTGGCTCAGAAATGCAAAAGCCAGTCTCAGACTTCATCTACTTAGCCAGCTGTTACCTTCCCAAATCTGCTTTGATTTTCTGAATCCTTAGTCCTTAATGGACAGCAGCAATAAAAACACTACTTGTACCTTTCCACTTTCTTGCCCCTGAGTTCATAATCTCTAGCACACTTTTTTTTTAACATGTCTTCAGGTAATATATTTGTGACTTCATGAATCATCAGAGGTGGATAACAATTATTCAATTTAATAAGTCTTGGGAGGTTCTTTCAGTCATATCTTGGATATACGCCCCAGAAAGTATTCAAATTTCATTATTATTATCAGGTGGACCAATCATGGAGCCAATATCTCTCAGCAGAGTTACCAACTATCACTGTTTGTCTCTTCTTCTTCTAACACTGACTGGAATACCTTTCTTCTGATATCACCTGTGAATCCACAACATAATTCCCTAGAGAACAAGCAGCTGCTTCTTCTTCAGTGTCCAGCTTTTTTCTCTTTGGGAAGAGCCCCATATCTATTTTTCTACTCCAACTGTTCATTGCTTCTTCCATCCTTCCATACTTGCACTTCCTGACACAGATCAATATTCCCTTTCAGTTCTTCAAATCCTTTTTTCTCTGTTTTCATATTGAAACCCTTCTTCTGATTTTGGTTTTTTGTTTGTTTGTTTTTTAAGGATTTCATCATTCTCCCTGAAGAGCGGAGAGGAATTCCTTTGGCCCCTACATCTTCTCTCCAAGGGAGAGAAAACATTTCTCACAGTGCCTGGTACATAGTAAGAGTTTAACAAAAGTTTATTGATTGACTGCACTTTCAATGTTGAGAGCAGTTATTTAGCCTGAACAAAAACACAAGAATTGCTCATTCAATAAAAGTCACATCAAAATTCACCCTGCTCTCTAGATTCATTGGCCATGAGAACCTTGGTTTTTGTCTTTCTTGCTAGTAGCTCTTATGAAGAGCTACCATGCCAACTTTACTTGAGGGATAAAGGTTGCCATGTCAATTCCAGAATAAAATTGTAAATAAATTGAAATATTTCACATTTATAGGTTCAACTCATTTCAATATGACAAAAATTTATTTGGACTCTCCTATGTGAGAGATACTATGAAAGGCACTAGAGATATAAAGGTGAAAATGAAAAAGGAAATTTACCTTATGGAGACATTCTACTGAAGAATATGGAGTAGATGCTTAATAAATGTTTATTGAATAAAATACACACGATGCCATCATTAGATAAAGATTCCTATTTTGCTATGGCAATGGGATCATAGGATCACAGATTCAGAGCTCAAAGGGATGTTAGAGGTCACCTAGTTTGAATCATCATTACAAATCTGTAAACTTATCTTTTGTAAATGAATGTCCTTGGCACTATAATTAATCACAGCAGCAGTTGTAGAGTGTCCTTGGTTCCCCCTTCCCCAATCATAGGGAGATCATGACACTATATATCCAGATTATTGGAAGTAGTCAGACATGAAAGATCTTACAATTCTAAGGAAAAACTACTGGCCCATTTGTAAGGCTGAGCAGTACCAGGTGAAAGTGATAAATTGTGCTTGGGTTAACTCTCCTCATACTCTCATGTCTAATGTTTAATACCCTTTTGTTGTTCTAAGAACAAACTTGATATGCTAAGGATCCCTAGTGAGGAGGCTAGTCAGCAATTGTACAAATAAACCATTAGGCTGAGAACAGCAGTGTCAACACAGACACAGTCTGCTAATTTTCTGATCATTGATGGACATTAACCATTTCTAGAAGCAGTTCTAACATGAGTCACATCACGTCCTTAAAAGATAAATTATGTTTTCTTTTGTTTTCTTTTGTTTTTTCAGAATCACAATGTCCATAAACACTCTATTAATGGAGTAGTCAGAAACTTCACCTTCCCATGGCATTGATGAAAAACACAGTCATATCCCTGGCAACTCGAACAAGAAATCTAGGCATAAGAATGTCTAATGATCAGATCAGGTTACTTTCCTATACTCTGTGAATGGGATACTTTGGGGGAAAAGCTGCGTTTGCCTAGTTTAAGGTAAAGATTTTCCCCTTCACATATTTGGCAGCCTCCACCAAACCTAAGATCACCATTGTGGGTAAGAAACAGATACAGAATAATGTGGGGTGCCTCCCTGCTGATACAATCTTGGATTGTAACAATATCCTAGCCTTGGGTTGAATTCAATTGCTTATAAATTAAAACATATGGTACTTGAGAACCCAGCTTATACATATATGTGTTCAGACATCTTACAGATCTTTGAGTGAAAAGTATCAGGTAAGGAAGAACTGTCTTTCTGGACATTTCTTAGACTAACACCAAGAGAATGAAATAAAAGCCAGGCCGTGGACTTATTTACTTTTAATCCTTTCCTGTGATTTATTATGTAGGACACTGGACACTCCCCAGAAAGCCAGGCTTCTGGACTACAGGGTATTCAACACTACCCTTTATTCATTTAAACTTATGGTTCTGAACTTCCTATTTCTGAAGTTACAACAAAGTTTTCACAGTCTCAGAGAGTTCACTAAATGAATATTTCACTGTGTGGTCCTTCTGCGGCAGAGAACCCTGCTTTCTGTGGAGAAATGTCAGTAACAACTTAATTTCCTTCTGTTTTGAGAACATCTTTTAACAACAAAGTGTTCACAGTAATCGCATCTTTTCTGCTGAAGGCTACCTTGGCTCCTTGAGGGCTGAGAGGATGAACATAAGCTAAGTGATCACAAAAGCAAAGAGTATTAAAAAAAAAAAGAAATAATGGTGTGATAAAGAGAGCTCCTTAAGTACCAGCTGAGTATGAAAATGAAAAATGTGCAGATTAACAGTTCTGATACCATTTCCATTAGCCTCATTTATTAAAGTTATAGCAAACTGTTTACCCTGCTGGTTAGCTGGAGCAGAATTGACTCTGATCTCATGAATTTTCGGCAGTTGCACTCCAGGTTTACTCAGCTTTCAGCATGGATACCTTTCTTGTCTATCCTTTCAAAAGCAAAGAAAAAAAGACAGAAAAGGAAAAACATCCAGTGGGAGATTACAACATCCCTGGCAGGGGATCGCTCCGGAGCTCTGCTGAATGCAAGAAAAGACTCAAAACGGACTCAGTATGCCATCAGCCATTCTGAATAGGCCTGGAGCCTTCTGTGCAAGGTGAGCCAAAGGTCTATTTGATGTCAAGAGGCAATAAAACGACCCATACTTAGAAACTCCAGCAAAAATCCCATCAATTCTCTCCTTGATACAGGAAAGTCCATTCCTAAGAACTTACTCAGTGTCTAACAATGCATCAAAACTGCTCAGGCAGATGACATTTTGTTACTTTCAAAATAGCAACAACAACAATAATAAATATATTTATATAATACTATAATGTTTAATCCTTACAATACCATTGTGAGGTGTTGTGTAAGTTAATATCATTACCTCATCCCTTTTTTTTTTTACAGATGAAAAACCTAAGGTTCATAAATATTAAATAACTTGCCAATGGTCATAGACCTTGGAAGTGTCAGAATATATTCAAAATTAAGTCTGTCCTGGTTCCTAGACTTTCCACTAAGGTTAGAGTCTAGCCCCAAGAAGAAAGATATAGACCTAGTGTAGCGTACTTTGGAGGTTAACGTAATTCTGGGTTTGCCTTAAAGGTTTAAAAAATCTAATTCAGTTCATTTTATACTTTCATTAGTCTAAGTCTATTTAGAAAGGACTTGATACCCTGTTTCCTAGTCCTGTTCCCAATTACCTTTTATTTCCCAAGAGCTACTTAGAAATGCGATGATATAAAGTTTAGCTAGATCTCCTGAGGCTGCCTAAGATGAGTATATATCCCCAAGTCTATCCTAGAGTAGACCTTCTTCTATTAAGGGAGGTCAGATTAAGACCACCTGAGGGAATCGTAGAGAGAAGAAAAAGAATTCAAGAAGATGCTTCTTTGGTCATTTGGTCAGCCATTATTAGCTTCTCTGGGAATCACTGAGGGAATTCTAAATTGTTTAACCTTTACTAATTCTAAAATATCAGATTCTTTGCTAAAGTTCATTTCACTCCATTTAAGTGACTAGTAGGTTTTTGTGTAAATCATCCCATAAAAAGGTTCTGTATTTCATTATTTTGTTCCTGTAGTTCACTCCCACAGTGTGTTCTCAATGTGGAAAAGAAAAAAAAGAACACATTTCCATCTTCCTAGTTTTGATAATCAGGAATATACATATATATATATATATATATATATATATATATATATATATATATATATATATATATAGAGAGAGAGAGAGAGAGAGAGAGAGAGAGAGAGAGAGAGAGAGAGAGAGAGAGAATCAATTATTTCCATGGATGCCTAGAAATTAAAATATTTTGGCCTGCACTGACATGATGGTCACATTTGTTCTATAATTTTAAAATGTAAACATGGGTAACTTAATAAGAAAAACTGGCAACATGAATTTAATTATGGACCAACTCTTTCCTCCTGATTTAACAAGTCAATCAAATTCTGGATATGGTTTAAAAAAAGACTGCAAATGAAAGGGTAATGCTGGCTGCTACTTTGGCAGCTTTGTATTTATTTAGAAATAGCTTTTTTGTAGAAGGGGAGGTGACAGTTTCATTTTTATTCATACTATATTTCTTAGCTACAGAATGCTATTTATTTTTAGACTTTTTTATATAATATAGGAATTGATTTTTTTAAATGTATTGTTAACCTAGCTATTAGATTGTAGCACTGGAAAATTTAAAATTTCTTTCTTGAGGGTCTTCACTCTATCTATATAGAGTTTGTCAGTCCTGGACAAATTCCCTGGAAAATGGGTCATTTCAGAAGTGCTACATTTGTACATGCTTGTGTCTTACATAGAGATGAATATCAAAAATGTACAGTCTATGCTACAAAAAAAAAATGGATAACATCCAATTTAATTCAACAAACAAATTTTAAACACCTACTGTATGTCAGTCACTGTTCTAGGTTTTAGGGATACAAAGAAAAATAAAATATCCTTGCCTTTAATGATCTTACATTCTACTTGGAGTGAAGGAGGAACATGGTATATATCTGGTCAGTACAAACCTAGAGTGTGATCTAATATCCCTTTTTGATAAGTCTGAGCTTGCTTGTTCTAAGCACAAGATCTTGGAGAAAGAAATCAGTCAAGCAAGAGAATGGGAACTCAAAAAGACAAAAAAAAATTGTATTCACTGTATGGATTGTGTATACATATAATTATGTGTGTGCCTGTTGTTCCCTTTTTAGAGTATAAGCTACTGGAGGGCAAGGGTTTTTCTATTTTTAACTATGTCATCCTAGCCCCTAGTACAGTGCCTAAAACATAATGAGCATTTAATAAATGTTTGTTTCTTTGTTTATTTGAATGGAAGACTAGTTGCAGAGGCAATATAGAAAAATGGGATAACGAATATACCTGGATGAAAGGAAGCAATGGGTTTGAATTCTGCTTCAGGAGCCTAGAGCTATGTGATTATAGATAAGTCAATGTCTTGTCTCAGAGCCTCAGCTTCCTAGGCTGTAAAATGGGGATAGAAAATATCTACCTTAAGTATATGAGACTCATTTAAACTAGTGTATGCAAAACATTGTTCTAGTCAAGATGAAGTAAAAGTCTACCTATTAGATCCCAAGGTAGTTCCAAAGGCTGAGTCTAGGTTCCCAGTGCGAATCAAACAGGGGCAAAGGGCAACCTGGAGATATTGTCTGGAAATGACCTAGAAGTGAG